ACTTTGCAGGCCGAAAGAGAGTGGCAAGAAATATTCAGAATGATGAAAAGCAAGAACCTACAACCAAGAATACTCTATCCTGCCAAGCTATCATTTGGGATTGATGGCCATATAAAGAGTTTCCCAGATAAGAAAAAGCTAAAAGAGTTCATCACCACCAAGCCAGTATTATATGAAATGTTGAAGGGTCTTCTTGAAGAAAAGGAAGATAAAAAATATGAACAAACAAAATGACAAAAATGTGTATCTCTCAACAATCGAATCTACAAACAAAATGAACAAACAGAACAGAAACAGACTCTAGACAGAGAACTTTTTGTTGGTTGCCAGAGGTGGGGAATGATGAAAAAGGTGAAGGGATGAGAAGTACAAATTGGTTGTTAGACTGACAAACCTCAAAGGGAAAGGGGAGGGGAGGCAGGAAGAGATAAACCAAAAAACTTATATGCATAAACAATAAACATAGACAATAGTATGGGGAAAGGCAGGAGAGGAGGGGGGTGGGAGCAGGGAGGAGGGGGTCAATAGGGGGAAACACATTCAACCATAAAGATAAGTTAAAAATAAACAAAGAGACCAATGAAAGAAGAATAGCCCAGTCACTGAAAACTGCACGCCTGTTCCACCTCTCAGTCATTAATTTACACCGAGAAATGTTTCTACTCACGTACAATGATGGGGATAAATAATTACAATAAAGCCGAGACCACAAAAATAGAAAAATTGCTCTCTGGGATCTTGGATTCATTTTCTACAGCAAAAGAAAGCATGAGCGTGCTATTTTGACAGCTCATATTACAAGCACAAAATACTTGTCAGCAGTGTTTCAGAAATACTGGCAAATACAGTTGTTTTTGTTTGGGTGCCCCCCCCCGCCCCCGCATTCAGTACTGATGGATCAGTTTCTATTCATCACACACATAAACTAATTTGTGGGTTGAAAGATTCCTTTTCTAAGGGACAGCGATTGGCGTGTTGCTGTTCTGTGTATGGGAGCCTGACGTGAGAACTTGGAGAGTGGAGAGGCACCCCCGCCCCCAGTCTGAAGTCCTGGATATGTTTTTCCCTCCTGAAACACTCAGTTGCCAGGAGGAAATGACAATTTCTATTAAATGTCAGGCCCTGGTCCTGTAGCTGAGAAAGGGGGGGTGCCAGAGACAGAGCCGATCCACACAGTGTTCTGTCTGCTTTTGCCCGTGAAACCTGCCATCCTCTGCATGTGACACGCTAATCACGGAGACCGCAAAGGCCTGACGACGCCCCCACCACGGGCTGCGGCCTTTTCCTGGGAATGACAGGAGGCTCCCATGTGTTTTAGACACTGAAGGATTCTTTCGTGAGTCACTGAACCTCCTCGGACATCCTCCGGCTACTGATGACTCTTTTTGGAGCTTAGACTTTCTGCACCTTGCTAGCCCCACCCACCCAAACTGATGAGACCTTGGATCGCATCATCCACAATAAGTCCCTCCAGCAACCGACATGTCTCAGGGCCAAGGGGATGTTGAAAAGCTACAGAAATACTCTGTGTGTTCCCTGGTGGGGTCACGGCTGAAGGATAACGGCCAGGGAGAAAAATTCTGAGAATAGAAGGAAGACCTCCGACCACCCTTCACCCCTATAACCTGTAAGGCAGAGTCTGAGCACATCCTGGCAGAACGGTCGTTATCGCCTGCAGAAGTGGGGGAAGGGCTGTTCCTCGGGGAGCAGAAGGCCCCCTCCCAGCTAGGAAGTGGTGGGCAGAGCACCAAGGGGGACCTCGTGGCCACAGCTCAGAGCGATCACCGGGCCCCTTGCTCCCCCTCTAGCTGTCTCTCTCTCTCGACTCCAGACCAAATCCTTGCCCATGCTGTGAGGTCCAGGCCTGCACACCTGCTCCCAGACGTCCCATGCCTCTCCTCCGGGCAAGTACCCGCTCGCTCCTCGTGATGAAGGTCGGACCCTGACATGGCTCCTCATCCAGACTGTCCACACTCCCTCCTTCCAGCCCCGCCCACCCAGCAGGCACCAATCATATTGCAGGTTCACAGATCTGTCCAACCACCTGCTTCCTTCTCTTAGGAAGGAACCGCCTATCCCTGGCCGGTTTGGCTCAGCGGTTAGAGTGTCGGCCTGCGGTCCAGAGACCCGGGTTCGGTTCCCGCTAAACGCACGTGACTTGGTTGCAGTTTGTCCCCGGCCCTGGTAGGGTTGTGCGGGTGGCAGCCACTCAATGTGTCCCTTTCACATCGATGTTTCTCTCTCTCTTTCCCTCCCTCCTGCCCACTCTATCTGAACAAAAAAATGGAAAAATGTCCTCGGGTGAGGATTAAAAAAAAAAGCAAAGTAACCGAAATAAATAAATAAGCAAATAAAATAAAATAGTTGTTCCTAACTGAAAAAGGATGCATGCTCGCATGCTCATTTTAGACCATTTAGAAATATACAGAAAATTGGAAAGAAATATAGAAAAACAAACTTTTCAGTCCCGGCAAGAGGTAACCTATAAATAGTCGGCTATAAATCCTTCCGATTTTTTCCATGCAAATGTATACATATATTTAGATTTTTCTTTTTCTTGACTAAAAGGGATCATGACCTATATGTGCTCTTTTTACTTAATGTCATATTATAAACATACAAGGCCAGGCTAGCTGCTCTCAGGCGGTCCCTTGTACTTAATTCTATTAACAGATCATGTCTCATTTTATAGTAAACACGAACTCCTTACATACTCGTCTATTTCTATGGGTCGCCCAGGGCCTGAGATACATCAGGTGACCTGAGTGGACATGATTTCCGAATATAAGCCATCACCAGAATGAATACAGACATTTACACTTGTTCTGACAACTGGCAGACTATTTGAAAGGGTTTTCACTCTCTAAGCCCTGGGAGCCAGGTAAGGAGCAGATGAGGAGAATGGTCCAGGTGCAGGGGTGGCCAGTGGCGGTGCCAACTACTGCTCAGTGACAGACACTTGCTGCCCGATCGGGGTGCAGGTGCCATGGTAGTTACAGCCAAACATTTTTTTTTACCCTCACCCAAGGACATTTTTGCATTTATCTTCAGATAGAGCAAGAGGGAGAGAGGGAGGAAGAGAGAGAGAGAAACATCAATGTGAGAGAGAGAGACATCGACCAGTTGCCACCCACATGACCCCAACCAGGGCCGGGGACAAACTGCAACCAAGGTGCGTGTGCTTAGCGGGAACCGAACCCGAGACTCGTTGGTCTGCAGCCTGACACGCTAATCGCTGAGCCAAACCGACCAAGGCTACAGTTTTTAAGATGATTTTTGGACCAGAAAATACTCCATTGGTCTCAGGGCACCAGCCTACACTTAATTCTTATAACATGACAATAACCAACACTGATTTATAATGTAACTTTCTGAATACTAATGACATTGTTGCCATGAAAAAGAATAGCTTGTATTTTTATTTTAACCACTCTTCCTTTTTTCAAAAAAAAAATCATTTCAACTCACATAAAAAAAACTGCTTTATCACCTAATTTAAAAAACCAGTTCCTCCCCACCCCTCACCCCCATGGTGATTTATTTTCTCTATAGAAAAATGTTGGTAACTGGCCAGGAATCTAAATGTTGAAAGCAAAGAAAAAATAAATAAATCTCTGGAAATGAAAATAAATGATCGATGTTTTCGATTTCAGAACAACGGCTGCTCCCCAAAGACACAGGACGTGGGGCAAAGAGAAGAAACAAGTGATTTCAACTCTAGGGGCCTTGATGGCAGTTCAGCCCTTTTCTTATCTGGCTTCCCATCTCTGAATTCCTGGGCATCTGTGGTGCCCGTCAGGATGCCAGCCTTTGCTCAGGAAAGCACAGATCGGAGCAGGTAACGGATGCTTTTCGCAGATCACTGCAGTGAAATGGGACAGCTGCCACTATGACAGGCAGACACCAAGACTGCAGAGGTGAGAACCCCAAAGGTAAAGGAGGCGAGGGATGGTTTCACGGATGAGGGCATTGGAGTGGGGTATTGGCGGGTCAGTAGGAGTTGTGCAGCTGGAGGGGGGAGTCTAAAACATACATGTTGTGTGGGAAAAGCTGAACACCACACACTGCCAGGTCCAGCTGAAGACAGATACATGTTGAGGACAGAATCAAACCCAGCCCAGGGCCTCGATCTTATCTTCTAGTTGATAGATTAGCATCAGAAAGGGTCATCCATAGCGTTCACAGAAATTACTATGGCTGCAGTGTAGAGGACACACCAGAAGGGGGCCTCCCTACGCGGGGAGACAGGTTACTACTGCCCTGGCCCAAGCAGGAGATGAGGAGGGCCTGTATCAGGGCCGTGGGGATGGGGATGCAGAAGGGCAGGTGGGGAGACACCTGGCAGGCAGGGTCTGCAAGAGTTGGTGACCAGATACTTAGCATCAGGTTTTCACGCAGAGAACATGGACAGCCGCAGGTTGACAGTCCGCTGTATAGTTCAAGTCAAGAAGGAAAGAGAGAGGAAAAAAAAAAAGTACAATAGGAGGATGGGAAGGATGGGAGTCATCTAGTTGAGAAGAAAAAGGCAAAAGGAACTGAGTAGGGCAGAGGCTGAATTAATATCAGACAGAGTCCAGCTTTGGAAGAGGTCTTCCTTGATAAATGGTTTTCTAGCCTTTACATACTTCTGTTGATGGGGAGCTCATTACCTGCAGAGTCACCCTATTCCACAGACACCCTCTGTCAGCGCCACGAACCACCATCTTTTTCTCTGGCTCCATATGCTCCCTTTGAATTTTTTTACTTTCATTTGCTCAGTGATGCTTTTTCGGAAACCGATTTGATTTAGCAACAAGGGCCCAGCAGCCCTCCCATCCTACTGATGAAAAATCCTTCACGAGAGCAGGGCAGAGGCTGAGAAAAGTCGCAGCGCAGGAGCGCAAAGCACGGGGCACGTGGCTGCCCACGCCGGCCCCTGACCGGAGGTTTTAAGCTACCGCGGCTGCCCGAGTTCCCCCTCCATCGCATCCCACGTGAAGGTCACGTGAAGGTCACCGTACCGTGCTATTGCAGCCGGCAAAGCAGGCAGACAGGTAGGTGATACCATCGGCTCCGCACACGGGCGTGAAGGAATCGGTCTGGCATTCACAGTTTTTATTGCAGGGGGAGTAGGGGTCCAGGGCCGAGCCGGGCGCTGAGCTGGAAGAGAAAGGAAACAGGGGACCTGTCAGAGAAAGGCCACCTTCTGCTAGGATACCCCAGTGGCCTCTCTCTGCCCCCTGCTGAGATAAGGCACCTGGCACCCCCCTCCTTTTCCTCCTCCACTCTGTTTTTTTAAAATATGTTTTATTGATTTTTTTTTTAGGGATAGACAGAAACATTGATGTGAGAAACACTGATCGGCTGCCTCTTGCACGCCCCCTACTGGGGATCGAGCCTGCAACCCGGGCATGTGCCCTGACAGGGAATCGAACCTGGACCTCTCAGTCCATGGGAGGGCGCTCAATCCACTGAGCCACACTGGCCGGGCTCCTCCTCCACTCTTAACCTGCTCTTGCCTGCGAGATCCAGCCCAGAGCCATGGCTGAGGGCTCTCCAGGCTGATCCCTGCACCACAGTCTGAACTCCGTCTGCCCAGAGGAGAGGAAACCTCTCTTTATCATCTGCACCAATGCGCCCTCCCGGCCGCCTCCTCCACACCTCTCCTGATTACTGCAGCCTCCGCCGGACCAACAACTGCACTCAGCCAGCTGAACTCTTACTCCCCCTCTCCGGGTCGGTCCGTGTCTGTCCAGTTCCTCCCCAGCAGCCAGCAAGCATCGAGATGCTAACAAACTACTGCTACGATGGGCTTCAGCCGTGACTGTCTGCCTGAGTGTCAGCTTCCCGTGAAAAAGCACACTAGGACATTTAACATTTTCTTTTGCACCATTAAAGGCACAGGTACCTAGAGAGAGCGCATTGCAGCGGAAGAGGGGATGCTTGCAGCACTGTGAGAGGCGAAGCGTCTCTTCTTCAGCCTGCTCTTCCCCGCCAGGCCTCGTAGGGCTCAGAGCACTTCACAGTAAGGAAGACGATGGTGACACCTGATGATTTGCGTCTCAGGCCCTATTCAAGCTGTTGCATATATTATCTCCTTATTCTCGGTATACCCCGTGGAGTTTACAGAGAAGGAAACTGAGGCCCAGCCAGGCTGAGTCATCTGCCCCCATGTGCATGACTAATACATGGCAGAGGAGGGGCTGGGACCCGATCGGTGTGCAGAGTTGGCTGCGTGACTGTGCTCCTGAGTTTATTCCCTTTTTGTTGAAGAATAACTTCATCCTAGTAGGGCCTGTGCTCTAAACCACTGCTAGTGACACGTGCCAACCGGAAGCCACCCTATTTGAGGGGAGGGACTGCACTGGGTGAAGAGAGAGAGGCCACTGCAGTGGTGGGGAAGGGGACAGAGCAGCATGCGGTGACATGTGCACCCATGCGTGAGTGACGCATGGACACGAACAGCAGCCTCTGCCTGTTCTCCCATTTTGCCTCCTTGCCCTTGAGGGGCAGCAGATAAGCCCAGCTCTACTGCATCTTCTGGCTCAACCGCAAAGGTAGGCCTGGTGGCCTGCCTGTAGGAGGAGGCCAGGATGGAGAGGAACTGGTACCCTGCAGGTCAGCCGTGCTACAGTCTCCATATTCCAGGCTGGATTCTCCAGGCAGCTTCAGAGTCCCATGTGAAAAAAGGGACAACTGTCAACCCTGGCTTTATAAGAAGAACTCGATAACAAGAAAAGTGATCCCATAAAAACGAAGTTCCTTCCCTTTGCTTCTCCCTTCTCTCCTCCTTTTTCCCTCCCACACTGACCTGTGCCTACCCTGGAACAGAGCCTGTAATTACTATGCGAGTGTAATGACAGTCTGTAGTAGCGTAAGGAACTGTAGATGTCTAGCTTTTACTCGAAGCTGAATATGACAATAAAATTCATTTGTAGCTTCTATCGTCACATCATTCCCATAGTCTAATGCCAAAAGTCATGATCTGAGTCCTCCGGGGAGTCGTATCTGAGCGTCTCCCCCAGGGTCACTCGGCCGTCCCGGGAGAGCGCCATCAAGTCTGCCCTCGCTGCGCAGCTGGGTCACACCGATTCTTTGACCTTGGGCGTAAGATGCACAGACAGCACCCACTTCTCGGCTCGTGGTCACGAGGGACAGAGCTCCCCCACGAACCTACCCACGAGAGAGAGCCCTGGCCTACGGGGCGGACGGGCAGAGCGGCGTTCCTGGTACTTACATGTTTCCATAGGGAACGGTGACCCCAGCCACGGGGCCCGTGTCACAGCCCAGGAAGAGGAAGGAGACGTAGCAAGCTGTGGACACCAGGTTGACGAGCATGGCCATGCGGATGGCCCCCAGGGCGGACAGGCTGAGCTTCTTCACCAGGAGGCCCCCCAGGAAGATCCCCAGACAGGCGCAGGGGATCGCGGTCATCCCTGGGGAAAGCAGAGGGCGAGGCCGTGAGTAGAAAAGCGGGGTCATGTCCTCCCAGGACCCCCGTCTCCGCCAGGGGCTCATTTCCGCCCTCGAGGAGCTCCCGGGACGCTGGGGACACACACACATGTAACCACTCAGCTCTTAGGAGTCTACGTGTGTTCCCCTCCTGTGCGAGTGAAACCCAGACACACAGCGGGTGTGGGGACAACCAAAAGGCAACGTCGGACAGTGGGGACATGCACGCTTTAGGAAATCAGTACCAAGGGGCAGTGCGCACGCTCCGAGCTCCTGAGGTGACGTGGGAACGTGACACGCTCATTTGGGGACTGTCGCCTCCTCTTCTAACTAGGCGAGGACGGCGGCAAGGGAGGGCCTGGCGGCTGTTTAACCGAAGGTCCCACGACTCCCCAGCCCTGGAGACCGTGGCCCCGTGGCCTCCAGAAGTAGCAGCAATCAGATCAATACATGTGGCCCTTGGAGAGTCACTGGCACTGAATTCTCCCCGTCTCTCATACCCAGGGCTGTCTGTAAGACGGCAGGGCCACACACCTGTCATTTCGGGTTCTCAGGCTCATGGGATTCTCGGAGGACCACAGGGTCCTGGGCCTCCAGCTTCCCGTTTGGTTTTGCTCGGATCCAGCTCACTTCATCGACAGCTCGGCTTTCAATGACCACGAGCGTCATTTACCCACGGGGCAGAGAGCACACGGCCCACTCCCCAGCCCAGGCCACCCACTCCCTGCCAACCGACAGACCTCGAGGCCAGCGGACTACACCGGCCAGCGGCTATGTGCTAAGGGAACGCACCTTAATCTTAACATTAGGGTAAGAAACACACAACCAGGGAGGCTGAGCTCTGTAAGAAAATAGCACAAAGTTACATTTAAAAAAAAAAACCAGCCCTGGCTGGTGTTGCTAAGTGGTTAGAGCGTCGGCACACAGACCAGAGGCCCGGGTTCGGTTCCCGCTAAGGGCACGTACCTCGGTTGCAGTTTGTCCCCGGCCCAGGTTGGGGTCGTGAGGGTGGCAGCCGCTCGATGTGTCTCTCTCACGTCGATGTTTCTCTCTCTCTCTCCCTCCCACTCTATCTGAAGATAAATGCAAAAAAAAAGTCCTTGGGTGAGGATAATAAAGAAGTTCATTAATTAATTTAATTAAATTAAAGCATGCACACCCATAACATCTCTTGCATTATCTGATGTGCGTGGCATATCTCTGCGTGGTTCCTCCAGCCCTGGGTCTAGAAATGGTCCGGGTGACCCAGCCCTTCTGAGCCTCTGTGTTCGCAGCCTGTCCCATGGCCCTAACTATGTCCATTTCTCTTTCTCCTCCAGGCCTGGCATTTCCTGGTCCCTCTTCTAGAACATTCTTGCCCCATATCTTTAGGTGGCTGGCCCCTCTCTTCAGAGAGGCCTTCCCAGACCACCCCACCCTCTACAGTGGTCCCTGCACCCCAGCCTGGTTCCCTGATTATTTTCATGGCTCCCTCCAATCAGAAGCTGCCTGTTTATTTTTGGTTTTCTAGTCCCTTCTTTCCCTCCTGAGCTGCAGCCTCCCCGAGGACAGGAGCCCTTTCCATCGTGTCCATCCTGTGCAGTCCGGCCCGGTCCATGGGCCCAGCAGGATGCCCGGCACGGAGTGGGCCCTCAGGGCTATTTGGGGGATAAACTCTGGTGCTTTGTTTCACTCCTGGCAGAGACAGTGATGATGGTAACTATGGCAATAACAGGCTTGCTCTGTTCTCTCCAAGCCACCGCCAACCTCCTGCTCCCTCCCTGATGTGGGTGTGGCCTTAACATTCGGGGGGGGGGGGTCTCAGTACTTCCCTGAAATCCGCACTCATTACGTGACCCACGCAGACTGAGTCCTACTTCCTGGGTGGCCCACAGCCCTGCGCTGATGCTGAGGCCTGGGCTTATGTTCCCAATGCCCTTTGTCCCCTGAAGGCCACTGCCAGCCCCCCACAAGAGCCCACAGCGATGAGCGCGACGCCCGGGGCAGGACAGGAGAGGATACAGTAGCAGGAAAGGTTCTGTCAGCCAAGTGCTCTAACAGACAGAAGTCACTTGGAAAGAGACAGGCGCAAGAAGTTAAGGCTGTTTTTCAGACCTTTGGCCCTGAAAACTATTGATTTGTTGCCAGAAAACAGGAATCTGAGCTTCAAGTGAAGACGACCTCGACTCCAAGCAACTGAGCAAATGTAATAACAATGTAAGGAACTGCAACAAAGTAACCAGGAGGCGAGACATCAGCTCCTTGGGAGAGAAAGGTGCAGCCTGAGCTTCTCCTTTTAATGAAGAAACTGTGCCTTTAAGTGCAGAGAGACACATGTACTCTCCGAGTGTCAGGCAGATGTTACAGGGCTGGCTGTGTGCTGCTAATCACTCTTGGAGGAAATACTTAGAAAGCAGGAGATGGTAGTTGTTAGTAAAAAAGAAAAAAAACAAGGCGTGTGCTACCCGAGCAGTTCCCAGGGAGATGTGCAATGATCTGGCCTCATTGCTGTGGTCAGCTTTTCATTTTTTATATCCTACGAAATGCCGAAGTTGAGTGAAACAGCGATGAATCTTTGCATTTCTTTCTCTAAAAAAATATATGTGTGTATGTGTATTTTTTTTTTTTTTTATCCTCACCCGAGGACATTTTTTGTTCAGGTAGAGTGGGAGGGAGAGAGAGGAAGAGAGAGAGAGAGAGAGAAACATCGACGTGAAAGGGACACATCGAGTGGCTGCCACCTGCACGACCGACCAGGGCCGGGGACAAACTGCAACCAAGGTACATGCCCTTAGCGGGAACTGAACCCGGGTCTCTCGGGACCGCAGGCTGATGCTCTAATTGCTGAGCCAAACCGGCCAGGGCTGTATGTGTATTTTTAAATCTTCACTTGAGGATATTTTTCCATTGCTTTTTAGATAGAGTGGAAGGGACAGAAGGAGAGATAGAGAAACATCGATGCGAGAGACACACATCGATTGGCTGCCTCCTGCACAACCCTCTCTGGGGCCAGGGATCAAACCTGCAACCCAGGTGCATGCCCTTGACCAGGAATCGAACCTGCGACCCTTTGGTCCACCACTGAGGCGCACCAGCCAGGGTGAATCTTTGTATTTGTCAACACCCCTGTCTCTGGCTCAGGTCAAGCTTACAACATCCTAGGCCCAGGAGGCTCCCTGGTGCCCAACCCCCTCAAGGCGGTCTTGCCCAAGGGTAACCATCGTTCTGGGGTAACCATCATTCTGGCCTCTGTCACTTTAAGTAACTTTCCCTCTTTTTTTGCTTTTTTGGTACATGCCCCTAGCGGGAACCGAACCCAAGACTCTCTGGTCTACAGGCCGAAGCTCCAACCGCTGAGCCAAACCAGCCAGGGCGTAACTTTCCCTCTTTTTAGCTCAAATAAATATGTACTCTCTTGTGTCGGACACCTTCCAACTCTGTCAAATTCAACCACACTGAGGCACGTATCAAAGTCCTGGCTTTCTCACGCTGTGACAGTCCAGTGTATAAACATTTTGTAAGTTACTGACCCAGGCTACTGTTGACAGACATCTGGGTTGTTTCCAGCTTAGGGCTCTTCTGCATAAAGTTGCTGCGAATACTGTTACATATGTGTCTATCCATGAGTGCACCCCAGCGCTCACTTCTGTTGGGTGCGTGCCCAGCAGGGAACGGTTGGATCTGAGTTTAAGCATATGCTTAGCTTGAATGGGCACCGCCACAAAGTTCTGCAAAGTGCTACACTGCTGCGCATGCCTGCCAGCTGGGGGCAGGTTGCAGCTGCTCCACGTCTGCACCCGCACGTGTGACATCAGTCTGCAGGATGCAGCGACACTGCACGGGTCTGAGCATGCATTTCCCTCATGACTCGGTGTCAGCACCTTCGCATCCGTTGATTGGCCGTGTGGTGAAGTCACAGGAGGTGCTCAAGGAGCAGAAAACATCACCTGGCCCCTCTGCTCGGCAGGGGTCTGACTCCTGCTTAGCAGAGACGAGAATCCCACGGGCCGGGGTGTGCTGCGATGCCCGGCCGCTGGGCACACTCCAGTAGCCACCCTCTCGTCTCTTTCTCTGCGTTTTCGGAACAGATGGGCTCTGGTGTCGGGGGCTGCCCACCCACATTCCCTCTTTTGCTGCAGGTCACCTTCTGCTGGCTCTTCCCCTCTGCTGAGAAACCTGCGTGACCAAGACGTTCCTGTCACAATAGCAACTGCTTCCTAGCAACGCCACCTGAACGCTCCATTCCCAACCGTACACCTGCCTTGGCCGCTGCCCCTCCTCCACTGCTAGGCTCCCAGAAAGTGTCCTGCAGCCACTGTGTGGGTCCCCTGCTGCCACTTCATGGACACAGGCCCGTCACAGGCTGCGATGCCCTGGCTGTTAAAGTGACAGCACACCTGGGCTTTCTCCTGCTCGAGCGCTCACACGGACAGCTTCCTTCTTAGCATCATTTCTTCCTGGATTCCCGTGACTCAGGGCTTTCTTCCAGGGGCTCCTTAAACGTCTCGATCACTCCCTCTGTTTCCTCATGGTGAGTATATCACTCTTCTTTTCAAATGCCAGACATTTTCCCTAAGTAAATCCCACCTCCAATCCTCAGCAACCGTCCCCATACGGATGCCCCGGAACCTACATCACCGGCCCCGGCCTTCGTGAGCTCGCCACCGAGTGAGTACAGGCCCGTCACGTAGATATACCACAGGCATCTCACATTCAGCACGTCAAATCCGAGCTCAGCACCACCCTCACAGATCGGATTCTTCTCTGCTGTCTCTGCGTTCCCAGGCAGAAACCCGGGATTCATTCTCAACTCTTCCCTCTCTGCCTTGGGCTGTGGGACCACCCTCCTCACTCACGTTAGTAACCCTGCTGCTCACGAGGGGAACTGGACTTGAGTTTTTTGTTTGTTTGTTTGTTTTATTATCCTCACCCGAGGACATTTTGCATTTATCTTCAGATAGAGCGGGAGGGAGAGAGGGAGGAAGAGAGAGAGAGAACCATCGATGTGAGAGAAACACATTGACTGGTTGCCACTCACACGACCCAACCAGGGCCGGGGACAAACTGCAACCGAGGTACGTGCCCTTAGTGGGAACCAAACCCAGGTCTCTCTGGTCCACAGGCCAACGCTCTAACCGCTGAGCCAAACCAGCCAGGGCGGGAACTGGTTTTCTTTAGCATGCCAGCTTCAAATAACTGGGAGAGACGCCTGTCATCCACTATTCATAAGGATGGAAAGACCATGCCTGAGCTTGGGAGAAGGGCATCGCCACCCGTGAATTATGTCCGTCATGGTCATGTGGACGGTAAGGGAGCGTGTGGCTTCCAAGTTCTATATTCGCCAACGGTGCATTCATGCTGCCAGGAATATTCTTGCTTTTCAGGTGCCTAACCAAAGATCCATCTCGTTGTCCCTTTTCCTTCACCGTATCGTCCCCCAACTTCTCCAGTGCACACCAATCTATCCACTTCCTGGCCTGTCACAATGCTTCCTGTGTACATTTTATATTTTAGTTCTTTTTTTAAAAAAAATTTTTTTCTTTATTGATTTTAGAGAGAAAAGAAGGGGAAGGGAGACAGACATAGAAACATCGATGACAGAGAACATCGATTGGCTGCCTCCTGCACGCCCCCCACTGGGGATCGGGCCCACAACCTGGGCATGTGCCCTGATGGGGAATCGAACTGGCGACCTCCTGGTGCATGAGTCGACGCTCAACCACTGAGCCGCACTGGCCAGGCTTAGCTCTTTATCATCATGCATCTTGAACAATGGCCTCAGGTGGGCTGCATGTATACCACCGCCTCCGTGTAGTCTTGTCGTCTTTATCCCAAGCATGACAGCCCCTCCCCCTCCCAGGGGACTGAGGCACGGACTCACCCAGCAGCTGGTTGGCAGAAGAGGTGGTGAGGTTGAACTGCTGCTCCAGGTACTTCCCCAGGAAGGCGGCGAAGCCGGCCACCACTGCGATCTCCATACAGGCCGCCAGCACGATGCAGGTGAACACGGGGTTGGACAGCAGGTGCTTGGTGACCCTGGGGATCACTGAGGGACAGAGGAGCAGAGGGCCCAGGTCACACACACTGCACTCCCAGCCTTCTGCCCCCAAGGCCCCTTTCCGCCCCCCGGTAACAGCATCAGGGGTCACCCCGCTCCGCAGGCCCAACCTGTCGCCTGAGAGTCACCCACAACGGGACGCTCCCGCTTCCGATACGGCTGCTGTTTCCCCAGTGAAACTGACAACTCCTAGCGCAGGAGAGACCGTGACATGCCCGTCATTCCAGGCTCCTGGAGACACGAAAATATTTTACGAGCAGCCACAACTTATCTAAAATACTTTATGAGCATCACAGCTGATTTCTATGTACCCCACGAAGAAGCCTGGGTTTGTTTCTCAAAGCGGAAAACATGCTTAAATGATACATTGTAAATTATAAATGTCTATGTTCTATCAACATCTCTAAGTGTGTGTGTGTACATATTCGTGTGTGTGTGTCTATATATATATATACGTGTGTACATTACCTCTGTGATTAATATTTACAACTGTATATGTGTTAAGAAAATGTATTTAATCTCGACACTCTCACGAAAAGTGAAATTCTAAGCTCTCTCACATATATTTATAAATACATAACTCACCCCTCCTTGTCACCTTCAGCTCCCTAGACAAAGCTGCATGAGCTCTCACTTGGAGAATCCCTAGAGTCTTAGTTTTCATCCTGGATCCAGTGTAATCATTCAATACACAGTAGCCGATGAGATCAAATCCCACTTCCGCTCCAAACTCCACCACGGACAAAACCCGCGCCCAGTGCAAAGGCCCTGCGGTCTGCCCCTTGGCCAGCGGATCACACTTCCTGCCGCAGCCTGCCCTCCCTCTGGTCCAGCCCTGCTGGCTGGTGCTGTTCCTCCTGAGCACCCGGGGCTCCCCACCCAGATCTCTGCACCAGGGCTGTTCCCTCTAAGGAACTGCTCTGTCCCCAGGTCTCTGCTGCCTGTATTTCCTCGTCCTCGGGGGGTCTCTTCTTGTCACCCAATCCTACTGAGTAGCAGCTGGCCACCCAGCCCCAGGCTTGGGGCTCAGATGACAGCTGATATCGTGGGTCCTGCACCACTAAGAACCAGAGCCAAAGAGCCGCTTGTTGAGGTCACTCGAGGTCGCACGTGTTCATCTCCTTCTATTGTACTTGATTTTCCTTAAAGTATGTGGTTTCATAAATCACTGAGATTCCCTCTTACATTTGTGCTTTTTGAAAAGGGGTATGTGATTTCTTTTTAATCCTTTAAAAGCAGTGACATTATTTGGGTATTTCCAGGAATTAGCATGCTTGCTATGAGGTCTCTGACCAGATTCCCTGAACTGTGGGGTGATGCTGGGAACTTCCAGCATGAACGAGGGCTCTGGGGGGACCTCAGCAACAGTCACTTCCATACACTCCACATGTTAACGTGCACGAACGAAAACGTTAACAGAACCAAGACAGACACACCAAATGTGACATTTCATGGCCATCACAGCTTAAGACAATGCTAGGTTAAAACAAGAAGATTTAAAGTTATTTATAGAGCCCTGGCCGGTTTGGCTCAGCAGTTAGAGCGTCGGCCTGCGGTCCTGAGAGACCCGGGTTCGGTTCCCGCTAAGGGCATGTACCTCGGTTGCAGTTTGTCCCCGGCCCTGGTGGGTTGTGTGGGTGGCAGCCACTCGATGTGTCCCTTTCACATCGATGTTTCTCTCTCTCTCTCTCTGTTCCTCTCTCTCCTTCCCACTCTACCTGAACAAGGAATGGAAAAATGTCCTCGGGTGAGGATAAAAAATAAAATAAAATAAAGTTATTTATAGAAACGTCTTATGGCCCAGCTGGTGTGGCTCAGTGGGCTGAGCATCGCCCCATGGACTGAGAGGTCCCAGTTCAATTCCCAGTCAGGGCACATGCCCGGGTTGTGGGCTCGACCCCCAGTAGGGGGCGTGCAGGAGGCAGCCGATCGATATTTCTCTCTCCCTTTTATGTTTCTCTCTCTCTCTCTCTCTTCCTTCCTCCCTCTCTCTAAAATATCAATAAAAACATATTTAAAAAGTTAAAGGGGAGTCTTATGTAAGTAATGGTTCCGGTCGTAAGCAAAGGAGGAAAACTCCGGTAGAAGCGCAGTACCAGAGACTCCGCTCGGAGACTCCGCTCTGCCGTGGCCATGACGACGTGGGGTACTGGGCGTGTGATGTGCCAGTTTCCACTTGCAGGGAAGGACAAGACGGAGCTCAGTCCCAGCGGCAGCAAGGACCACACCAGGTCTCGGGGGCACCGGCTGGTGCCAGGGTCACACAAAATAAACAGGTGAGCAGAGAGTCTCACACCACCTCCCAGGTGATGCATCAAGCAGGTGTCCTCAGAACAGACCTAATTACACGGGCTCAGCGGCATCTCCTAGGAGACGAAGCCTCTAAATGGCCCAACTAATTAGAATAAAATAATAATGGAGGACATGTAAGTTTCTAATAATGTTAACAAGCAGGCTCCATACATTAGAACGACAGAACAGTAGGTCGGGACCTGCAAATACACAAAACTTAAGATGTGTCACGCTTGGGAAAGATGCCAAGTTTCGAGAAGGAAAATCTATACGAAAGCTAGGGACTCAGGGGTCCTTTGACATGTGAAGGAAACTTAGTGATAAGAATAGACTGGGCTGCTGAGGCTCAGAATTGCTGTGGGCCAAGCAACCCAACCCTGCGTCCCAGCTGAGAAACAACCCGGTCACACGGCTGATGGCCTCCATGGTGCTGGGTGGTTTCCTATTTTTTAAAAAAAATTTTTTCTTTATTAATTTTAGAGAGAGGGGAAGGGAGAGGGAGAGAGAGATAGAAACATCAATGAGAGAGAGCATCAATCGGACACCTCCTGCATGCCCCCCACTGGGGATCAGGCCCACAACCTGGGCATGTGCCCTGACTGGGAATCGAACCAGCGACCTCCTGGTGCATGGGTCGACGCTCAACCACTGAGCCACACCGACTAGGCTGGGTGGTTTCCTATTAAATTACTAAAACCTTCAGACGGCAGCTCTTGGATTAAATAAATGTATGTCACACACACACAGAAAAAAACTTTTAAAAAGGTATAAATAAGAAGAAAGCCCTGGCCGGTTTTGCTCAGCGTTAGAGTGATGGCCTGCGCACCAGAGAGACCCGGGTTCAATTCCCACTAGGGGAAAGTACTTCGGTTGCAATTTGTCTTCAGCCCCCGTTCAGCCAGTAGATGTGTCTCTCTCTTATTGATGTTTCTCTCTCTCTCTCTCTCTTCCTCCCTCTCCCCCTCTTGCTCTATCTGAAGATAAATGCAAAAATGTCCTCGGGTGAGGATAAAAAAATAAAATAAAATAAAGAGGGCAAGGTAACAGCCTTAAGTCCACAGTATCCATCCATTGATAAGCTTTACTGTGTGTATGCTGGCCTGTGTGTGTGTGTGTGTGTGTTCAGTTTTTACAGGGCTTCAAACACTTATGATAACCTGACTTTTTAAGAAATGGCACTTCAAATAAATGTATACAAGTATTGCCCTGGCTGGTTTGGCTCAGCGGTTGGAGCGTCGGCCTGCGGTACAGAGAGACCCGGGTTCGGTTCCCGCTAAGGGCGCGTACCTCGGTTGCAGTTTGTCCCCGGCCCTGGTTGGTCATGCAGGTGGCAGCCACTTGATGTGTCCCTTTCACATCAATGTTTCTCTCTCTCTCTCTTCCTCTCTCTCCCTCCTGCTCTATCTCAACAAAAAATGGAAAAATGTCCTCGGGTGAGGATAAAAAAAAAATGTATACAAGTATTTACACTTAAATCTGTTCCCCCGTTGCGACATTTTCCTTTGTTAACTACACATTATTTAAATACTGTATCGGTACGTAGAGGGATACTTCTTTGGTAATGTTTAAAAACGTGGATTGTACAAAGACGAAGAGGATGGATACACTGGACATACACACAGGCCAATGAGGAAAGTATCCGACCTCAGGTACCAACGCCCCTCGGATGTCAAGACTCCTCACCATGACTACGGCTGAGGAGTGACGGCTGACCTGCTAGAGTGTGCGGCGCATTGTGAAGGTGAAGCGTACCCGTGACGGGGGCGAGGTAAGGATCACACCGGTGACAACAGCACCCCCTTGTCACGAGCGACCTGGCAAGTGGAGACTGTGCTGTGACCGTATCCACAGCTGCTCAGTCATGGTGGCTTTTGGAGTTAAGTTCTCCCGACTCTGATCAACAGGCAGGTTGGGGACGTTCCAGGACCATAGCCCTCTGCCATCCTTTCCATATCGGCCTCTCCCTTGATCACGGCCACCCCAGTTTGTGGGGATGGAGAGGGCGTTTCCAGACACGGGAATCTCCAGTGAAGGGTCCGCTTTCCCACCTCAGCAACCACGCTAATTACTCCGGAAAGTTCGGCTGCGGGGGACGCGTTCCCGTCCAGGTAGGAGCCTGCTTTCGTCTACCTCCTGGCTGAGTGCACCTGGACTTGGCTGTGAGAATCATTACGTTGGAGGATCGTTCGACTGAAGGCCCAGGGCGGCCGCCGAGGGCCTGATTTTCACGCTGAACATCCTTTGTTGCCTCTGGCCCGCTGGCTCACACCAGAGATGACCGCTCCCTCTGGGGTCCAGCTCTGTCCCTCCCCGGTTCCTCCCCTCATGCCGAGTTTTACTGCTATGACGTGCAGCGCCCTCGACAACAGATTCCTTTCAACAGCAATTCAGCCCTGTCCTCTAAGGCTCCAATTTGGAAGGGCTACTCATTAGCTTGGTCCCGGGACTATCTCTGTGTTTTATGCTTTTTCATTCAAGGGGATTGGTGCGTCCATAAAGCCTTCTGAGGAGTCAGGAGCTGATGAGGTGGCCCAGACATACGGATACTGGCGAGCCAAGGCCACGCTGGGCACTGAGCACCTGCGGGCTCCTTGGTCATTCCCTGCCCCCCTGCGGGGCTGGTCTCAGAAGCGGGCTGGGGTGGGGGGCATGCTGGTTGGCATCACCCATGCTCACCCGCCGGGGAAGCCTGTCAC